GCAAGGGGCCTATTGGGTTTTTTTCAAAATCGGTACGGTTTTAGGGCATTTATGGCCCTTATGGGTTGAAAATATGAATGTCTGTCATATCCTTTCCTAGTTTCTCAATAACAAAATGATTGCTGGCTCCTGAATCTCACAAAAGTCAAATTTCCTTCCACATCATCGCATAAGTTACCAGCGTATAATTGTATTTCTGAGTCACCTTTACTCAGTGGCGGCTCGTTGTGTCCAAATAAGGGTGGGCGACAAAAATAAAAAACAGCCGTAGGCGATTTTTTTAAAAGATTTCCAAGGTCGCGGCCTTTTCAAATGTATTGAAAGCATTTTATATTTTTCCATTCTTTCTCCAGGGTAGCGGTGCCCACTTTGCCCATATGGACGAACCGCCACTGCCTTTACTGTCTGCTGCATTTGCCTGATGTTGCTTCTCGTAACCTTGTTATCTTTGATTGCTAAAGTAAAAAATAATATCTTGATCCTTGTCCTTTACCTCTAAAATTGATCTTTTTGGGGCACTTCCCTATAAAATGTGTCAATCTCCCACACTTATAACATGCTCATTGTTTTTGGGCTTGAAAACTTGCTCCAAACTCACTCTGACTCTCTTTCGATGCTAATTTCAATTCCTCGTCTAATACGCTTGACTTGAGGTGTAATCCAGTTCCAAGGATGATACACCCACTACTACAGGATGGCCTATCCTCATAAGACCTGTGTGTAACAAATCCCCCCTTTCCCCCTACACCAAATTACCAGTTGTGACGTAGGCAGCATGTTATTTATCGCCTTGACATAGGCTGTTTAAACAGCTGACGACTTAGTTATGACGTCGGAAATGGTAACACACCATTATGTATCGGGTCTTCAAAAAAAAAACCAATCGAAGATTGCTTTGATTACGAAAACGTACGTCTCATAACTGTTTCTTTATTGGTCAGGATTTTTGACATGACATTTTGACATTAATTTCATTGACAAAATGAAAGAAAAATTTTGCTAAGACATACGTTTGAAAAACCATAGCAATCTTTGATTGTTTTTTTTTTTTGAAGACCCGATATCATCCTTGATCCAGTTGCACCTTGTCCACCGTTTCCAATGCTGTCACAACCCAAGGATAAAAAACACTACTACTACTACAGGATAGCCTATCCTCATAAGGCCTGTGTGGAATAAATATGAAGCCCCCCACCACGCCAAATCACCAAATGTGACGTAAACAGCATGTCCTTTCTCGCCTAGGCGTAGGCTGTTTGCACCACAGGTTATCATTCCGAGGGCTTTTGCTTTATGCATAGGTACTTGGTTTTACAACATTAATTAACATTCTAAAACAGTTCTTTTTTTGATCTCGTTTTTATCTTCTCTTTGCCTATAATGTTAATCAAAATTAAATAGGTAATATTTTTCATCATAAATTTAAATTCTAAACTACGACCGCTAGTGCAAACAGCAGACGACTCAGTTATCAAGGATGATGCACACCTACAGGATTGCTTATCGGCCTATTTTGGTAATCGCCGCCATATTGGTGTGTCACTATTTCCGAACTAAGTCGTCAGCTGTTTAAACAGCCTACGTCAACGCGAGAAATACCATGCTGCCTACGTCACCACTGGTGATTTGGCGGGGAGGGGGGAAGGGGGGGATTTGTTCCACACCAGGCCTTATGAGGATAGGCTATCCTTGCTTAGTTATGACGTTGAAATGGTGACACACCAATAGCGTAGCGATTACCAAAAAGGAGGCCGATAAGCAATCCTTAAAGTGTGTATTCTCTTTGGTCACAACCATGTCAAATTTGGATGGTAGTGTTAATAATAACTGACATATTTTGTTATCTTCTTTAAAATCTGTTCCATTCTCTTTAGGTTGCCTTATAATGGCGTAAAATTTAACAAATTAATCTTCTAATCGGTCCATTGGTGCATGTCTAGGGTTATTTAACTGCCTACTCCATTTGTTCCCATGCTGACTTTTCTGCATCTGGCTTGCGGTTTCGCTGAGCTCAGTGTGTTAATAACTTCAAAACACTTGTCCCTTTTCAAATGTATTTGTATACAGAACCACCAATTATCAAAATTATTTGCTTCCAACACCGGCACAGCAATAATAGTACCCGAATATCCGTTAGCCATCGTTTACTCCGCTTTGGTACACACGACACTTTCCACGAATGTTCACCTTTCAAAGGTGATTGTTCACGAAAAACGACTCAGATTTCCTACTTTTTAATACCCTAATGTCTGCGTATATCTGGGCCCATAACCTGATAAAAAATATGAGTATTTTGATGAGAAAGAACTTAAAACACTTCCAGTTTCTATTTTTCTTTATAACATAAAACAGTACCATGAACAATAATTAAAGCGTTGACCAGAACTAACTTCTTTGACAGATCATTTTGTCAACCATAGAACTGGTACTAGTTGATTCTATCCAATGATTCTATCACATTCACCGTCCTCGAGTGGTGCTCACCTCAATAGACTCGGTACCTACCTCGTGGCAAGTATCTTAAACATCCATCGACATATTGAGCCTTATGAATAAAGTGTAGCAAATGCTTTTACTCTACGTATGTCTCTTTCTGCTGCATTAAGCCGAATATTTTTATCTTAAAACACTTAAGCAAAAGCATTTGCTTCTGTTTTATTCATATGAACTATTGCGTCGTTGACTTCCCTTCTCGTTAGTGCTCTTCGAATGGCCACATGGAATGTGTTGTTAGAGGCACCAGCGATGTCTAGGACGGCGCATAATGCGACTTCTTTCGCGTCCAGGGTTTCTTGTCTCATGATCGTCACTTGGAACAGAGCTGTCTCATGGCCATTTGCACCGCTATCACTTAACGGATATTAAGGGATATTTAATTCAAGTGGAACTTTCGAATGTGACTTTTGTTTCTACGAGAGTCACATTCAAAGCTCCACTTGGATTAAATATCCCTTAAGTTATAACGGTGCAAATGGCCGTAAGTGGACCTGCCCTGACTTGCGTTCAAAGGCTAACTTTCCAAGGTAATTGATCCTGTATAGTTATCTACTGTCTTTTCCATCATTTTAAGAAAGTTGTATATGCCTTAGAAATGCAATAGTGACTCTTGCCTTTTCTCCATATTTTAGGTATATATCCCATCGCCATACTGCTTCTACAAGGTGTGGCATGATCTCTGAAATAATTAATATTTTGAAGAATATGATGAAGACATGATCAGAAATATGTTTCTTTAACATTCAATCAGGCATTAACTGATGTGAAGCCCATGGGGGGACAAACAAAGTGTTTTAAGGACTATTGATACACACAGAGGCGCCAGCTTTTGCGTCACAAATTACAACTTTCGATAGGGGGATAAGTAATTGTGAATATCGTTTGTTTGTCCCTCTATCGAAAGTGAGGTTATGTGTTTGACGTCAAGTCCTAAAAAGAATGAGAAATGCACTATGGCGCGGAACTTCAATAAACAATAAACTTCTGGTTCAAAATGGTTAACAAGTATCCATTCCATTCACAAAAATTTCATCTTCAAAATTTGAATGTTTTCAAGAGTTAAGGCCGCCGGCTTCTCATGAGCGTAAACTTGATATAACTGACGCAAATGCTGAATACGTGAATTTTTGCGCAACATTCACATGGAGTGGAGAATTTACGCCGTCCGCGTATGTCAAAATTATATTCTTTTTCTAAATTTTGAAATATTTCTTTAAATTTTGATTGTGAAAATTTGTATTTGTTTTTGCTTTATTTCCAAATAGTTGCAAATATGAACAGTTTTATAATTACAAAAATCAAGAAAACAGAACGGCTGCAACCTTAACCTCTAAAAACGCTGAGTTTCTACGCAAAAAGTTGAACTTTGCTCAACTTTTGACGTATCTGCGGCAGAGTGTCAGCGTATCCAATATGGCGGGATTTTATGCCAATCAGAATTCTGCATTCAGGTACGCTGTCCGCCATAAATGTCAAATTACGCTCATGAGAAGCCGCCCTTATCGTGACTATACACGTTTTGCTATTAAAATAACGTATCTATACGTCATAGATATAATATAGCGTTGTCAGCTTATTCAACCGACTTAAATAAAACCAGAGAAATTGAACTGTCCAGTTCCCCGTTCAGCCCCCGAGGACATTATTTAATTTGCCTAGAAAAAAATAAATCGTTGCTTCGGTCGAGTTTATAAAGCAAAGGAAATTAAGGCCCCGAACCATAAATAATTCTTTAAAGCCAGGAATATAACAGTAAAATTGCAACAACGAAAATAACGATCTTTATCGTATCTAATGCCTAACGGCGACGTTTTGGCCTCTCTTCGGACAACAGGAACGGAACAACAACAGAGCAACTGATAATTTGATCTAAAATTGCATTATTATAGAAACCCTTTTTTTTACTAGGTTCTTTATTCTTACGTGGGCATCACACACACACACACACACATCACATCAGGCTAATAAATATACAAACTCCAAGTGTAGCTTAATAAATCTCTTCAATAGGAGGTACGCATTGTGTGTAAACAGCCATTACGGCTTGTATTAAATTATAAACGAGAGACTTTCAGACAAATGTTGGCACTCGTCCTTTGTAAAACCTCAGGGGGTGGCCTCGAAGATTAATTTAAATTTACATAATAATGTGAACACCCTAATTGTCACGCAGATTTGATTTATCAAATGCAATCAGTTAAAATTGTTGAGAATATTTTAAAATAGAGTGTATAACCCTTTGGAGCTTTATGTCTCAAAAACTATTCAAGCTTAAATTCTCTAAAATCGCATAGGCTCAATTATGGTGAACCTACTGATACGTCTATTGAATTTGACGCAGTGATACGTAATACCGGTCAGAAGGAAATCTTTATTACCGATCGACAAAAGTCAGAAGTGTCATCATCCGAGCAAGGCACTTATTTGACGTTTGACAGAATAACGTCCCCATTGAACATGACCATTATTGTACCGTTTCTAATTAACTTTTTTTTTCTCTCTAGGTGATTATCTACGTGACAAATACGACGGCGCCACCGAAGTGCGCGTAAACAAACGCGGCCGCCTTCAATTGAAAGACCCCCACATCACCATCCCCACCGCTGACGATATGGTTTATCTGGAAGATTCTCCGGATTATTGCGTCAGAAATGACGTGACCGGTTCGCTGGGTACTCAAGGTAGGCCGTGCAACCGGACCAGCGCCGATATCGACGGTTGCAATATTTTGTGCTGCGGCCGAGGCTACAACACGCTGAAAACTGTCATCAAGGAGAGATGTCAGTGCAAATTTAAGTGGTGCTGTGAGGTCCAGTGCAAGACTTGCGTGAAGTCTTTGGATACGCATACTTGCAAATAAATGTCGTCTATATTGGTACAAAATGAGTACTGAGAAATTATTTATTTATTAATTTAAATGTAGTTTTATACATATTTATATTTGTAAATTGCATATAATTGTAGGATTTTTATGGTGTACTTAAATTTAGAACTGATATAATCATTTTTTATTGTTGGTGTTTTATTTTCCGATCGTTCAAAATATACTGTTGCACTACTGAGGAAACACCTTAAATTTCTGATGCTGAATTGAAAGAAACTTCTACACCGTCGGCAATGACTACGTTAGAACGCTAATGGTTACCTGACGTCACACCTATTTTTGCCAAATGCTTCACCCCCTCGTTCCCCATCATACGGAAAGTGTCAGATTAAAAACGACGGACAATACATGTTTTTTAGTCTTATCAATTAAAATTTTCAGTCTTGTTTTCAATGCAATTTTTTATAGATACATCTGGCTCATGAAAAGGTAGTGCGAGACTCTCTCAAGGGTATACACACTATTCACCACTTAATTATATATAGCTGATAAATGAAGCCTTATTGTCAAGGGGCTAATCGTAAATCTCCAGTCACCTCTACTCGATATTCGTCTTTAGTGGTTTTCGAATTCCTCAGAATCATTGATCTTATGCCCTATAAGTGAACATAATCACATCATTCGAAATACTGGTATTTTCTGAGAACATAAATTTTTGTTCTTCCCAAGTCCTACTTGGGCTGATCTCACTTTGACCTGTTACCGTACATCACTTCCCTATTTACCGGTATCTTCTCATTGCAATATTTATCGTTAGTGTTGCTTTATCGTATGTATTTCCGATTAAATTTATATACCTATCTTGAGTCAATCTTACATTTTTTATGGATTTGAAGATTGCCCATAGCTCTACCAAAGGATTCAAATCAAATATATTGTAGTGATTATGTGTTTAAACGTGCTGTATTGTATACTCTCCCGGGAACCGGAAACCAACTTGTTCCGGTGGTTGATTATACTGGTTTTGTACATAAGTAGGTTGGCTTATTAGGGGAGTGGCAAAAGACGTATTGGGCGGTAATTGCCAATTTGGAATAAATTTCCCTCCTTATATTATGGTTTTGCTACGTTTCGATGTCTTGGCCTTCAGGAAGAAATTTGTTCATGAGCATTTTGATAGATATAGAGTAGTTGTTCCTTCTAAATTTATTCTGTTGTTTCCTGGGCCTTTTTTGTCTTTCATCCAAGACTGCATAATGCTGTTATGAACAATGTCAACATCAATAGGATTCTTCTTTGAATAAAGTTCTGAGTCCTTCATTTATTATTAGTGTTGATCATTTTCAGGATTTTCATATTTTTGTTACTTTTCGATCAGGTACCTTTCTCACCATTTCTGTATTGTAGTTCCTTCTTAATCTTTTTCCTTACCTACCTATTATCTTATTTATTTTTCCATGTTAAGGGGGTTCTCAATGATATTTTCAAGTTCACTCATAAGTTCACGAGACTTCTTCTGCAGGTGATCACTGCTAGTACCTATCTAATTACTTTACAATCGGAAAGTCTTTTACCGTACCTCAGATTTGTGATAAATGTCCTTTTTAACTAATCAGTCTGGACTTCTCCTCCATCTTCTTTTTAGTGGCTTTTGGAACAGAGATTTTTGGAATAATGTTTCAAGGTTGTTTGAGAGATGTAGGTTGTTTTATGACGTCATCTGGATGTCTAAACATAATGCAAATATCCATTAGATCTTCCTAATGACGTCATCTGTTTACTATTACCAGACTACGTAATAACTTCAGTAACCTTGAGAATGTATAATGTATTCATACAATAAATACCTATAATTATTGTGCTCTTTGGAGCTTTCTCAATACTCTTTCTCCTGGTTCGTTCGAGTCGCCAAGCTTGAATTTTCCCCTGTACCTATACTGGATGTCATTACGTTAACTTTCCCTACTTTAGCATGGGAAGTCGTCGTGAAATTATCTGAATCGTCTAGATATCTCAATGACCACATATATTATTGTATAGCTATCACTCTAACAGGTGAGGTTGATATTCTGGATGAATTTATTGAAAGTCCCCTAGAGATAAAATTTCGAAAATGAACTTACCTTGAATTTTCCGTCTACTGTGGCTGCTGGCATGTTTTCACTACCCTAGAACCAACGCCAAGGCAGTTGGTATAAATGTCGGTAAATGTCAGAGTCGGCAATTGTCTCCGTCGTACAAGTTTATCCGTTGGTGGACCTTTGCCGGCGTGGGACCTGTCATAAGGCCTATTATAGTGCGAGGTAGTTGGATCCTGGCTCCTACCCATTTTCTGCATGATTGGTCGAAGAACTCCCTACCATGATTGTGCCTTGGAGTTATCCAGTAGTGTCGATGTTCTTTGCGAACCCAGTCTTTGATGTAGCTTCTGTACTTTTTGGTATCCCTTAAGCCGGCTCTCCCCGATAAGTCATCTCTGTAAGCTAAGGTTAGTTTGAATTCCGAACTAGCTGGCAACAGCGTAGGATGTACGCATTCCGATTTAAATACAGAATATACGTCATAGTTGTTATTCGTGTGAGGGCTGTGAAAGAAACCAAACAATACGAATCAACAACAAATCCACAAGTACAAACTACATACATAACCAAGCTTTGTCCACCCAAATTAACCTTGAACCACGAATTCGCCGCTCTTTCGCATTTGTATGTAGGTGATCGTATTATGCCCAAGCAAACTTAAATTTTTTTTATTTGTATTTTTTGGTAATAAAATATTAATTTAATACAAACTGCCTTTATTTTATATGAAACACAATACCTAATTTAAACAAGTTTTAAAAATACATATAAGTACTTAGGGATCAATTTAAATTTTGAAAATATTGTACCATTTCATTTCTGCTCTTGCTCCTACATCATCAATACCCATGTTTGGTGAATTGGGTATCCTTTGCACTTGTATTAAATAATTTAAATTATCTCCATCCAGCTTTACAGGAGGTGGTGATGGTTGAGATAAGGTAATTCCTCAAAAATGATTTTTTTTCAAAAATTTTGGTATTAATCGATTTGTTTTTTTAGTATCTTTCCAAAAAAGTGAGGATTATTTAAATATTTCAATAAATATTACTTACATTCAAAAAAAAAGTTTCGCATCAATCTCATTACTCTTTGTCATTTGGGATATTTTGAACAACCAATTCTATAATATAGGTGTAATTTTCTTTCCAATTATTATTTCTTTTAAAATTTTCAACGTTTTATGAATATTATTTGTTCATATAAAATGAAATTTTATTGTTTTTTTTCGATTGATTGAGGTTAACCTTGCGTTCGGTATTTTGCTCGAAGAGCAGAGCGTGCTGAGCGGAGCCGTAATCACGTGACCAGCGAGGGAACAGAGCAGTTGAACGCTAAATAAAAGTGCCAGAAATTTTAATAAACGAACGCGAATGAGGCTGCACCGAGTACACTTTTTGAATAAACGAACGGTAAAGTCATGCTCGGAGAACTCAGACCAAAATAACGAACGCACGGTAAAACTTTAAAACTGAAAGAAATTATGCCGTCGCGGCGGAACAATAGGGCAATCCAACGACCTGTCAAATAGTAATTCAAAATGGAGGTCAATGCCTTTTTATTTAAAAAAATGCCGTTTTATTGCAATTTTTGATTTTTATAAAGTCTGTAAAGTGTTGATTTTTTGGAAAATGCACACGTTATGTATTGTAGTTAGTTGTGGGAGCCGTTCTAATCGCGAGAAAGTCTATTTTCATGCCATTCCTCCAGAGATAAAAGACAGGTTTTTAACGGAGAAAAATGATTTGTCTGTACTTTGTGAGGGCTTCATGGATTGTAGCAAAAGAGAAAAAATCTTACGAAATCCATATTAAAAAAACCAAAAAGTCTCTCTACATAAATGGTGTATGGATCTAAGCCATTTACTATCCTCCACATCAGCTTGTGTCGATACCTTGAATAGCAGACAAATAAAATGATAATCAGGATTCAGGATTTGGTTAAAAAAAAAAACTAAAAAGAAAACAAATCCTGGATAGTAGCTACCTAATTGTTTAGTAGGTAAAGGTTTGTCACAAAGTGTCCGTATTTCCCACGAGAGCTCCCATGCACCCATGACAGGTTACTCATGGGTGCACTTGCCCCGATGCCCCCATGTAGTCGGCGCCAGTGATAAGTGTACTGGTTAGTAGGTGGACGGGTTAGTTTGGGTTAGTTTGCTTATTTCTGGTTAGTTTCGTTTATTATTGGTTATAAGTGCACTGGTTATTAATAAAGCGCGCTTGCGCGCTTTGTTTTTCGAATCCAGTATTAACATACAAGGACTAGTACGCATTAGGTGGACGGGTTAGTTTGGGTAGTTTGCTTATTTCTGGTTAGTTTCGTTTATTACTGGTTATAAGTGCACTGGTTATTAATAAAGCGCGCTTGCGCGCTTTGTTTTTCGAATCCAGTATTAACATACAAGGACTAGTACGAATTAGGTGGACGGGTTAGTTTGCTTATTTCTGGTTAGTTTCGTTTATTACTGGTTATAAGTGCACTGGTTATTAATAAAGCGCGCTTGCGCGCTTTGTTTTTCGAATCCAGTATTAACATACAAGGACTAGTACGAATTAGGTGGACGGGTTAGTTTGGGTTAGTTTGCTAATTTGTGGTTAGTTTCGTTTATTACTGGTTATAAGTGCACTGGTTATTGATAAAGCGCGCTTGCGCGCTTTGTTTTTCGAATCCAGTATTAACATACAAGGACTAGTACGCATGAGGTGGACGGGTTAGTTTGGGTTAGTTTGCTTATTTCTGGTTAGTTTCGTTTATTACTGGTTATAAGTGTACTGGTTATTAATAAAGCGCGCTTGCGCGCTTTGTTTTTCGAATCCAGTATTAACATACACCCTAATAACACAGTAACATCGCAGAAACATTCCAGAAACATCCATCAGGGATAATGAAGACGTCCCTGGGAGGTCCCTATTTTCCTGGGGACATCCCTGGGATGTTGCAGGCAACAGCCGTGTCATCATTTGCGATGTCCTATAAACATCTCTCAGGGATGTTTCTAAGATGACGCGGGATGTACCTAATACATCCGGGGCAGGTGTAAGAAACATCCTCTATATGTTTCTAGTATGACTTTAATAGGTGAATGAATTTTAGGATTATGGATTAAAAATTACCTAATTCAATAATTTTCAATTTTCGTTCTATT